TAGCCTCAAAGGCAGAAACGCAGTGCACTAGACGCTTGGGAGAGCAAAGCACAAATCCAGGGAGGAGGTCTTCTTCTTCCACGCCTCTGAGACGCATACGGACTTGATCACCACAGGTTCCAGTGGCAATTTCGTCCTCAGTCTCACCATAGAGAGCAGCAATTTCGACCTTAGTGCGATTAGGCATCATGATGCAGGTGGCGTTCTTCTTGATAACACCAGCTTCGATACGACCCTCAACCATCGTTCCCATATCACGGTACTTTGTGCTCACGGGCATCATGAAGGGGGCGTTAATGTTACGTTCGGGAGTCTTCATTTCACCAAGATACTCCAGGAGAGATGGTCCATCGTACCAAGGAGCAAGTTCCTTTGGGACACGATCCTTGATACCCGTAGTCTGCTGGGCGGAAATGGGCATGAAGGTAAGATCGTCCTTCTTGTAACCGAGAGCCTCCAAGAACTTGGAGACCTTAACTGTACACTCATCGAAACGAGCCTTGCTCCATTCGACAGTCGGGTCATCCATCTTGTTGACGGCAACAATGAGCTTCTTGACACCAGTGTTTCGGGCCAGCAGAGCGTGCTCGCGAGTCTGACCACCCTTCTCGAAACCAGTTTCGTATTCACCCTTACGAGCAGAGATGACAAGCACACCGACATCGGCTTGCGAGGCACCACCAATCATGTGGTGGACGTAGGATTTGTGACCAGGAGCATCGAGGATGGAGAAGTGTCTCTCAACGGGACCGTCGGGAGACTGCACGGTGAGCTTGAAGTGGGCACGGCCGACCTCGACAGTTTTTCCCTTAGCTCGTTCTTCGTTGGTCAGATCGAGAGCCCATGAAAGATACCAGGTCTCTCGACCAGCCTCCTTTGCTTCCCTCTTGTACTTCTCGAGTGTCCGCTCATCGACGTTGCCAGTAACGTAGAGGATGGATCCGCCGAGGGTAGACTTTCCAGCATCGACGTGTCCAATGAAAACAATGTTAACGTGCTCCTTCTTCTCACCATAAATTTCCTTCAAGGTATCTTCGTCCACATCTGCCTGCTGCTCCAAGGCAACAGCATTGGCGTCCCGACCAGTTTTGCCACCTTCACCGCGAGATGGGCTGGATCTGCCGGGGCTCGACCGTCCAGAAGCGGTAGGGGTAGGGGACGATTTGCCACTGGCAGCTGCCTTCTGATCTGCCTTCTTTTCTGTCTTATCAATAGCTTTGGAAGCCGTCACCTTGGCCGCAGCGTCGGCGGCGGCAGATCCCATAGTATCTCCTGGAGTCGTTGTGCCAGATGGGGTGTTCGACGCGGGAGAGGGGGTTCCAATCGAAAGGACCTTGGTCTTGGGGGCAGCAGAAGAGCTGCTAGCACCACCAATAGACAGAACTGGAGCGGCGGATGCGGTCGATGCGGGCTTGGGAGCGGCTTGGGCAGGCTGAGCAGGAGCTGTAGGTGCTTGAGTAGCTACCGGTGCCGCTTGACGAGGCGGTTGAGTGTATTGCTGCTGCTGCTGCGGCTGCTGCTGTTGGCTGTAGCCACCATACTGGTTGTTGTAAATCTGGTTATAACCACCAGGTTGTTGGGCGTACGCCCCATATTGACCAAAGCCTTGCTGCTGCTGGTCGTAGGCGGGATAACCACCGTACTGACCATACTGTGGGTATCCGCCGCCATACTGCTGGTATGTTTGGCCGGGAACAAACGAAGCCGCACCAGGCTGGAAAGAGGCAGCCCCGGGTTGAAATGAGGGAGCTTGTGCCTGAGGGCGGTATTGTCCGCGGGCATTCAGGTTTACGCCCTCGGTCTGCTTCGAGAGCTCATCTTCCCAGGAATCGGGGGTCTGATTGGCCATCTTGGGATCTCGTGAGAAGGACAACCACAAGTAAGCTGGGGAGAGCGAGGGATAGTTGAGGTTACAAAGACGATGCCGTCAAAGTGAGGGGCGCCTTTTGGGTGTATTGATTTTGCACCCGATGACTCAGCATTTGTTCCCCACCTTGGCGCCTGTCGCGTCTACTGCGCCTACTAGTTTGCATTGTTTGCAACGTTTGTTTGCGTCTTCTCCCCACCAAAATGGTAGGGTATTCTCCTCATAGCAATCTGCTGAGGGAAGGTGATTCTTAGGCGAAGTTACTTTTGCTGAAGACTAGAAATTGACAGAAATATCTGACTTTCATGAAACATTCATGCGGTGGAGCCACGCTAGGTGGCTTGTTATCGATAAGCCTTTGCCTTCAGGGGCCACACATCCCGGCTGACATCTAGATCGGCTTGCTTTTAGTTGTGCTTCATAGCGAATAAGAAGTTGAGAGGGAGGCAAATCCAGCACGAGCTGCCTCGTTGGCTCTCAAACAATATGGATGTCTTTCTGACCAGGGTATGCGCAACTTGTCCTTTGTGTGACAGAGTTCGATGTTGACATCATGAGTAGCTCACCCAGCAGGCAATGAACTATGCCATTCGGTATGGACTGAATCGTTCCTGAAGCGGGCTGGTAGAGCATGTCCTGACTGTTACTCTTTTAGCTCGGGGATAGCCATAACTGCCAACTATGCGATGCGACAATCAACTCGTCTGCTCAAGGTGAGCAGTAACATGCCCTGTGGCAGTCAACAGTATGATTAGAACTCATGTATTTCCCCTTCAGAATGTCGAGAACAATGAAGAGAGAGAAGAGCTCCTTGCTCTGCAGCAGAGGCTGCAAAGCAAAATCCAAGTCGGTCCTCTAGTTCATGCGCTCGGTTCTTTGTACGGCATACTTATTTGGTGACCAGGTTATCTCGCCGGCCATTGATATGATTGAGTTGATGTATGCCAATTAGTTGAATCATGAGTATAACAGCTAACTGTGGGGTCATTCTTAGCGCTGCAAGAGGCAACACATCTCTAGAATCTGCAGTGTCGCTCACGAAAACACTTCGATTGGATATGCAGGCCCTTGGGCAGCGATTAGCAAACGCAGCTGCCTCCGAAGAGTTGCTACGAAAAGGCGCAAAGTGTCCCAGAGACCGCTCACGTAATGATGCAGAGATCAAGCTCATCGTCAGAGACATCAAGAGACTTCTGACACGAATTGAGGATGCAGTGCCGCTGATGAACTTGGCAATTACCACATCGGGGGCCAGACTGTCAACCAATCTTCCAGCGACAGTGTCACCGTCCAGGTTGTTGCAAGCCAGTACATTCCTTACTGCTGGTGACACTCAGTATTGGATGTCCCCCGCGCAAGCTATCCAAATCGGCCCTACCTTTACCTTGTCGATATACATGCTCTTCGCGGGTCACGTTCGGCCTCAGGATGAAGAGGGCATTCGAGAAACTACGTGGAAGGAGGTCATCCACAAGGCACGCGTGAAACTTCGGCGAGTGCCAATGGACCTTACGTCCAACACTTCAGCTCCGACTTGGCGAGCTAAACTTCCAGCTGAGGCACGAATAGACGAATACCACTATCAAATGTTGATCATTGAAGATTTGGACGACGGAAGAGTGCATTCGTATGATGAAGACGAGCCACAGCCGGAGCCCTACGAAGGAATCCGCCTAGCGGGGATGCGCGAAATACTCCCCATCCACCAGATATCGAAGATCTTCTACGCAGATACGAGCAAAGTCTTAAATATCAATACAGAAGGCGAAGTCAACAACCCGGTGCTGCTATTGAAGAGAGATATAAACGCTATTCCTCCACGGCGGATGCTTGAGCGTGAAGAGGCAGATTCGATTTATGCTCAAGAAGAACAGGATGAGGAGGAAACCGACGAAATCCAGGCGCAGCTGGATGCTCAGTTGAATGGGTCGTCTACTAGAGATCCATTGAATCAAAACTACAGCGAGAACTCTATCCCAGAACACTGGCGCTTGCCGAAAGATCTGGATCCTGAATGGATAGCATTCGAGGTCTACAACGAAGATGAGTCCTCGGACACTGAATCCGAAGCGGGGGCGCCAGAAGGGGAAGACTCCATAGATCCGCAGATGATGGCAAAGCTATCTCTTGATGCTAAGGACGACAGGTCCAGGCAAACAACCCCAACCTCTTCACACGCTGCCGCCACAACCACCGTCTCGAACCCCCTCTTCAACAACATTCGGACCTCCCTCTCCCTTCTCGAGACACTTCTCCGCTTGATGTCATTACAACAATTTCAGCAACAGTCCCACCTCTCTATCAGCGACGAACTCCTCAACTTTTTCCTCGAGGAATCATCCACTACTGGCGCCGGCGGTGACGAGCAACATCGCCAACGTCTCCGCGCAGATGCGAGACGCAGAGTTGGCTGGGATCCTTACGACGAAAGTCCCGTAAAACGAAGAGGCGAGGATTACCAGTATGGCTGGGCTTCCGATGGGCCTCCAGTCGGTTATTCTCGCGAGGGAAGCGAGTATCCCTACACACCCACTGAGCGGTATCCGGGATACCATTTACGCTCCCGCGAAAATACGCCAGAAACGCCGCTGCAATCCCGGCGAGCAGGTTCAACTAAGCCTGATGCAAGGCGACAGAGTGCAATGCGGGGCTCCTCGGTCCTCGCCGATGAAGCGTCAAGTAGAGGTTCCCCTCTTTCCAGACGATCGACTCCAGTAGAAGATACTGGGCGCGGGGCTTGAGGAATTCATGATTGATATTGATGAATATGAGGATGATCTTGTAAATGTAGCGAATATAGAATGTTTAAAACATGTGCTTAGAAGGGCAGTGAATTAGTTTTGTAGTATATATCCATAGCTATGGACAATCCTTCCCGTACCGATGGTGAAGCATCGAGATGCACAGCTAACAGGGGAAACAATCAGAATGACTGATACCGAATAGATAACCGCTAAGAGCTAATTGAAAGCAAAAAAAATCACATAACACCAGGGAGTATCAAAGACAAACGCCCGAACTCCTCAAAGTACCTGGACAGTGAGCCCAAAAGAGCTGGAGAGACAGACGAAATTGAGACTAAGGGCTAAGACACCAATGGAGAACATGGCCAAGGCGATTGTGTATCAGCTGCTCATTCCCAGTCTTCGTCGCTGTCGTCGTCCTTGGCCGCAGTCGTTGGACTCTTCTCCTTAGGGCTGCCAGGCGCACGACTCGTGTTGCCGCTGACAAGGTCATAGCTGGATTCACTGTCCGGCTGAGACTGTTGGTCGTTCGAGCGCCGGGGTTCGTCAGGCTTGAGCAGCTTACTCCTGTCGACAGTGGGAATCTGGGTTGTATTATTGGTCTTGACCTGAGGAGTAGATGGGGAATCGGTGTCGTCGTCGGAGTCATCGTCCCAAGCAACCTCTTCCTCTTCATCCACATTGGCGCCTGCCATGATTCTTGTCAGAGATTTCCGGTAAAAAAGCAAGGTGAGGTGACTAGAGACAAACCTTTAAGAAGTTCCTTGCGCTTCTGCTCTTCGGTCTCAATCACGAGGCGGAGGAAATAGTACCGAGACCAGAAGGTTGCATAATCGACCTGCTCAGGAACAAGCTTCTCCATGGCGGATCGCAGCTCAGGGTACTTCTCCAAATCCGCGGCAATGGCGTCGGTCTTGTTGTCTACGTTGAACTCCTCCTTGAACGCGGCCCACTTGTCACTGACAGGGTCCTTGGTGAAGCTCTCCAGGTTGGAATGGATCACATGTAGCTGAGCCTCAAACCGGGTCGCATGGATAACTCTCTTCCCCTCGGCATCCTTACTCTCGAAAAGGATCTTGTTTGACGATTCCGCGTCTGGCGGCACAATGCTGACCGCCTCCCGCAGCTTTTGGCCAATGGTCATACCAAAGCGCAGAATCGCTTCATCTGCAGCTTCCTCGGCCTTCTCAATCTCCTTCAGTCGTCTTGCAGCCTCTGCCTTGAATCGGGAGAGGAAACCCTCGCTTGCGCCAGCATCGCTGTGTCCCTCTTCCTGACTTTCTCCTGCTCGGGACGCAGTGGGCGTCGGCGTCTCATCCTTACTTCTCTCCGACGACGCAGAAGTAAAAGCTGTACTTAGCGACAGGCCTCGCGTGCGTCCAACGATTGTCTCTTTCAAGTCCGAGAGGCCCTTGGCGGCCTCCTCGCTGGCCGCGGCGTACTCTTGCCTGGCTCCTTCATAGTAACTCTCGCCTTGTTTGCGGACATTATCCCACAGACCACCGATCTTTATCCCCCAGGGGCTCGCGGAAAAGGCGCGAAATGTCTCTTGCAGTTCGGTGTTGAGGTCGACGTTGGAGTTGGCTTTGGAGTCGTGTTGTGAGCCTTCTTTCTTCGATGACTCATTGGAGGAGAAGATCTCCTCTTGAATATGATCGTATGCGATATCCATGGTTTTTCTTGGCGAGTCAATATCGCAATAAAATAGGCGATCCGTTCTGCTGGAATGAATTGAAAGAGACCGTCCTCGATGACGGTTGCGGAGGAGTTACGGTAGCTGGTTGCCGGTGGATCTGCATGGCGCTTCCCGGGCCTTCGGGGCGTACGACGGACCGAACAATCGTAAGTTACCCCACTGAGGGTTCCACATGAAACACTTGAGGATATGTACTATCTACGGCGAGAATAAGAAGTGAACAAGATACAGATATCAGACTAATCATAATCCATGTGTGCATTCATAATTCATCAAGTTAAGCTATATACTATGTATCTGTCAAGCTGTAGGGTTCTCCAACACTGTCCTGACTGCCCATCCAGAAACCCGGCACGGGAACACTCTCCATGACACTCGACGTGAGAAGCTGGCTGCGGGACAGCATCCCTTTAGGTCGAGAATCTTCATCTGGATCAGGCTGCCCTTTGAGTCGATCCAATATTTGTGAGGACTCCACCTGCACCACGCTCTGAGCACGGTTTCGAGGGAGTATAGCGTCACCTGCGCTCGTGTAGTCTCCGTGCCGTGTGACTGGTGAGGATTCCGGGATCATCTCCGTCGAATATTCGTCCAGGTCTTGAGTTTGGCTTTGAGTCTGCGTCTGCAAGGAGGGACCAGACAATGCCTGAACCTTGTCAGCGGATGACTTGGTACACGATGGCTCGGCCATGGTTTGCTGAATACTGGATTCCTGTGGGAAAAGCTCCGCCAGCTTCTGGGTGCTCAGCGTAGGTATGGGTTCTAGTGGGAATTGAGTGGCAGGCTGTCGCCTTTGATATAAGATTGATGCCTCGGACGACAGATTGGTTTCAGATTGTAAAGGCCCAGGCTCATCTTCCAAACCAGGATGTGGTATAGGTGGAGGGAGGTCTTGGGAGTCACTGAGTGGCGATCTGTCTTCATCCTCGTCATCTTGATCCTCAAATACCATCGCATTCGGCTCGTCATTCGCGCCAGACACTATCGGTTCATCATCACTGTAGTCCGTTTCTGCGTCTGTTTCATACACTACTGTTCTCTCCGTACTCGGTGGAGGTTTGTCAGGTTCCGGTTGCTCCTCCAACTCGGATGCGGAAGCGGATGGTCCCTTTACTGAATTTGACTGTGTCTCATCAACACCAAGATTCGTTTCCTTATTAACATCCAGCTCGGACGGCAATTCAAAATCTGGCATCAAGGTTGGCGGTAATTGATCTTCAGATATCGAGACATGGCTGGCGCTTATATTTATCTGCTTCGAGCTAGGTGATTCTTCTTTGATGGTAGAAATCGGCTTCGTCGAAAGACCAAGGTTTGAAGGGGATCGCGTAGCGTTTCGGAATTGTGATGATGAGATTATGGCAACTCCAGGACTTTCGGGTGACTGGGAGGAAGGTATTTCAGATTTCCATAATTTTCGTGGCGTCTTCGGGCTTTCTTTCAAGACTTTCTTTTCCGGCGTCGAAGTCCTGGACAAGATTTCTTTCATATCCTCCTCAGCCTCCAGCTTCCTCTTCTTGCTCGAGCTTAACGATTCTTGGGCGCTAGCACCGTCAGCGGGCGCAGAATCAAGTCCACGAGAGAATTTTCCTTCGACTCCCTGGCTAACCTTCTTCTTCGGGGTGATATAGGTGTACTCCAGCTTGACTTCATCATCGGGCTCGATCTTCAGGTAACGTCGCACATAGTCCATCTGAGTGAGTGTCTTGTCCTTTTGCTGCTTGTCTGTCTTCTTGTTGCCATTGACACTTTCGATACTCTTCCTTCCGGGTCGCTTTTCAGCTGAACCAGGTTGACCTCTACTCCTTCTCAGCCCCGATGCATTGCGCGCAGCATTTGGTCTTCGTTCGGCGTCCCCGGTACGCCGTGCCCGTATGTGTGAGGTTGGTTGATAACTAGCATCGTCATCGGAATTGTCATCTATCTCGATCACCTGGTGACTATCCGGATCATTATTTTGAGCGGCTTTATCGATGTAATCGAGATTGTCATCGTCGGATTCGGCGTTCTGTGTCCTCGGCGTCACAAAATCAATCTGTGTAAGTGTAGGTTGATCCCTGGAGAGCAAGCTGCCTTTCCAAGGCTTAGACGCTGAGTCTGAGGATATTGGAGTCCCACTTTGCTTTTTTGATGTTGCTGTTCCTATTCGCGCATTAGAGGTGGTGGAAGCACTTGATATAGGAGGCTTGTTCGGCGTTCGAAATTGTTCCCGTGCAGATTTTGCGTTTGTACTTGGCCCGTCACCTTGTCTCATCGCAATCGAAGAAGCTATATTAGTATTTGGAGAAACTAAGAAGATGAAATGAGACCATAAGTCCGGAGTAGAGTTGCGGCTGCGGATGGGTCATAATGCATAAAGCTTTCTTATCGGGCGGTTCGCGTCGTTGACGCGTCGGATCCCTATGACATCGATAGTGGTCTGTGCACGCATATATCCAGTTCTGGGCAGCATTCGCCTAGGTATTACCTCTCTATTAATTCAGACAATCTGTCGGCTTTAAAGTGATGGGGTATCTATTGACAAACTGCCTATACATGGATGTACACATAATCATGAAATAATGATCCAAAATCAGACGAGCTCATCATACTAGCCACTCTGGAATCGCATCCTCATCTTCGGGATCATGCGACAACAATGACCCATTGTCATCAACTCCTGATGCCTCGTCCATTTCCTCTGGCGTGGGACTTCGTGACTGGGTTTGCGATGCTGCCCGCGACAGTATCTCAACACTAGCTGATTTGGACCCGCCCGTTGTTGAAGAGTCGACCGTGATGGGAGCTTCCGAAGAGCCTGCAGGACCAGTCTCCCCAGAGCTTCTCACACTCTCAGCTTCTGCCGTTGGTTCAAGCTCCACGACCTCAGGAGATTGTTCGGGCTGCTGTTGGGGTTGCTGTTGGGGTTGCTTTTGGGACGTGCCGTTCTCATTAATGTTTGCTTTCTTATTAGGAACGACGATAAGGCTATAACGAGGACGTCTTGATGTCTTGGGAATGTCGGTTTCGGACGGATTCACAGAGATTGCTTCTAAGTGGCTGGCACTCTGGTCAGATCTGAGTCCACCACCGTGCGCTTCATCTCCCAGTGCTCCATTATTTGTCGATGCTTCGTTATATGTAAGTCCTCGAGGCTCTTGTCCGATTGATCGTCGATAAGTCGAAAATTCTCCGTCGGCCATTACCTGCTCTGGTTCTGGGATAAATCCGCCGCCGTCTTCCTCTGGATCATCGAAGTTTTCAGAGCTTTCGACAGCGCTCTCTTCTCCTTCAATGGCATAGCCTTTGACCCTTTCTGCAATTCGCAGCTTCAGGAGAAAATGCTTCCACAACCGTAATGTCTCTCTCGACTTTTCCTCGGACTCAGCTTGCCTTCTTTCATCTTCAAGATGACGTAAGACCTCTTCAAGCGCTTCCTGACACTCGCTGGCAACAACAACCCCTTGAAAAACAGCAGTTCCATGTCGGCCTTTGAAATCAAAGCCCGTAACTGCGTCTGCGTAATCAATACCAAGGACCCGGGCTGCATGGGCAGCTTGAGGATGCTTTATGTGTACCCCTCCAGGAGGAACCATACTCGGCACATAGACATCCAGGTTTCCATAAGTGTTTTTAGGTACCTTGCCCTGCACAACAGGTGGCGGCGTGTAGACCTCGGTTTGAAAATATGCATAGAGAGGAATCTCCGTGCCACTTCCATTATCGTGCTCGTCTTCGCTGAAACCAACATCCTTGTTTCTGTTGGCTCGGATACGTTTCAAAGGTTGTTCGCCGATTTTGATGTCTCGTCCCAAGCGATACCATTTGTCCGCACTGCGGACGACATGAACATCGCTACGGCGGTACACCGGCACCAACACCTGATCTTTTGATCCTGACTTCCCAAGACTAACTTGACCAATGACGCGTTTGGGGAAAACGACTTCATGCCGTCGAAGCTGTCGCTCAATCGCGTATATCGGATGGTCTTTAAAGTCTTGCACATTTCGCGGCATAGGCTCGGCAGCAGTTTTCGCTGTCAACTCGCTGATTTCAACCTCGTCTCTGTCCTCCAAAAATGGCTTTTCGTAAAAGCGCATCGCCCTTGCCCACCATCTCTCCCCGTCTTTAGTCGATTCAACACGCATTTTGCGTGTTTTTGCATTGAATGCTTTTGCATAGCGCCTGGTAACGTCTCTTGCGGACGCATCCTCTTCAAACCCAACTACATAAACCATGCAGTTTGATGGATCACTAAAGGGGGGTTCAAACTTAGATGGTTTTGCAATCGATTTGGTAACCAATGGGTCGACGGGGACCCATTTCTGGACTGCTTCGTTGAATGCTTCAACCCAAAATACTGGGTAAGGCGAGGCTCGAGTGGTGAATCCCGGACCTTTGAGAAGTCAGTAAGTAGACAAGCGGAATAGTCGTAGACACGTTACCTGGAATAGAGGTCTTCTGTGAACGCCCTGGAGTGAATTGTGGTCGCCCAAGTCTTCGAGACCTTGACACCGGAGTCGGCGAGAGGCCAGACATCTGTTGATCATCTGCTGACGTGTCATGGTCATCGGATGATATAACAATGTACTGTGAATCTTGCTTGTTCGGCGTCATGCTCTTCGTCGTCCCAGAAAAGGGCAAAGGCTGGAGTGAGCAGACAAGCCTCGCTTCCACAGCTGCTGAGCGTAGAAGAGCACAGAACAACTGAGCACCAAAGTCACGAGAGCCCTGCATCGTCCTAGCCTGCTTGCAAAAGTCTTCCTTTGACAAAAAGACTTCCGCGTCGAACATAATAGACTCCTACAGGGATGTGAGGAGGGTGCCTACGGCGTATATCTTTGAACACATACCAGTTTTTGCTTCAACTTTTCGGGATCATCTACCCAATGAGCTCGCTTCAAGCCCGGCCTAGTCACTCTGAACCTCCTGCTAAAAGCATCACTGGCTTGATTCAGACCCTCGACAAAGGTCGTAGACCGGCTGTACTGTGGTTT